CTATTATTTGATCCTTATTACATCCTTGGTATATTTATATATTTTTCCTCTTATATGTGTTTTTTTTGTAGTAATTCTTTATTGTATATTCATGATGATATTGGTTTATATTTAGACATTAGGTTTGTTTGTGATACATATCCTGTGCATATGATCAACTTAGGTTCCTACGGAGGCTATTTTCTACATGAGCTTTTGTTGTTATGATAGATTTATTCTGAAGTTTCTTTATCTACGAAGACAGTGTATATCTCTTAAATTAATTGAGAGCAGGTCTTTATGCCTAGCATATATAATGTGTTTTGTTTTTTTTATTTTGGTTTCGTTTTAGTAACTTAATTGCTACTTCTATTATTCGATTTTTTCCTTTGTAAACACATTCATTATTAACCGTAGGTACGGCGAGAGTTGGTATACCTCAACCGTTCTCGTGGGAGAGTCTTGGAGTGTGTGTGCTATTTATTCTATCGTTGGTGGAGTTTGTTTGGCGAATACTATTTTGCGGGGAATTCTCATATATGGTATTCGTATTCCTGTAAACACATCATTAAGAGTAAAGTAGCAAGTGAACTCAACCCGTTCCTCGTGGGATCGATCTTTTATTACTACGTTGCGATTCGAATACTTGCGGGAACTCAAAGGAGACGCAACATCTATTACGCCTTTGCGAGATCTAACATGATGCATTTTTGGAATCAGATTCCACAATCAATGGACAAAACTTAAAAGTCGACTGCTAATAAACTCAATGGCTGCAAAAATAGCAAGAATTTCAGTTTTATTAGAGTCAATAATCCCACGCATAAAAGAAAAATGCATTTCACATATCTTGAACAGTCTTTCAAAACACCACACACACCCACAAGGCCCAACTTACCTAGAGAAGAAATATTAGTGTAGAACTTCATCAAACCTACTATCGGATTCACCCAAAAGCTTCTTTAACAGAGATCGACAACTTCTTACCAATTGAACAATCATACGTTCAGACCTCTATTGGAAAAGCAAACCAGTCACCCTGATTAAAAGATTGCAACTGAACTTTCACTTTTAACAATTTGAAACTTCTAACTTTAATCAAATCCACCTCTTCTTTCGCCCTCTTATTCTCACTATTGAAAATCACTTTATCTCTCGGCATCCACAACGACCACAAAGTAACATATACTGATGAATTCCAGGAAAGAGAGCTGCCTTTTATTTCCATAATACTTTGCCATTGCTAACTCAAATTCATCAAGGAACTAGGCAATACTCAGCTTGCATTCCACCATCGCAAGACACCCTTCCAACCTTTTTGGCAAAAGAACGTAGTAGAAGGAGATGAACAACAGACTTAATCACAAAAGAACAAAAAGAGCAAAGATAGTCTTGAGGACTTGATAAAATAAGCCGGCTGAGGAGATTACTTCTACATGAAATTCTATTAATCATAGCTCTCTAAAGAAAAGATGAGACTTTTGTTGGAATAATAGGTGACCACAACAATCTTAGGTTATAAGGAATGCTATCCACTTCTGACTCAACCTCTTCCATAAACATAACAAATTCTTGACTGAGAATTTACCTAATTTACAGAATGACTAGACTAATCTATCCTCATTATTGGGCAAAACACATAAATCCTTTAGCCTTTTGAAAAGTTCATTCCTATTCTCTTCCTCAAAGTTCCTTAATTCACGCAGCCACTCTATTCTCCACACCCGTTTACTATTTTCAAAATATTTACACTCACAAACCCTTGCTCTTTTATTTTTAGCTAATATAAACAACCTAGGAAACAATAAAGACAACAACACATCTTCAACCCATAAGTCCCTCCAAAAATTAATCAAATACCATTTCCTAATACTCATCTAAAACCCTCTTTAAAAAGGGACTCAAAGGGGAAGAAGCCCCTATCTCCATAATATCTTTCCACATAAGAGACAGCTTTTTCTAAAGCTCATTACCCATATCAACATGCAACATACCCTCATTAGCATATTTAGAGATTAAAATTTTCTTCCAAAGAAAGCCACTCTTAGCTTTAAACCTCCATCACCACCTACCCAAAAGAGCTAAGTTTTTCTGTCTAAAGTTAGCGACACCATAACCCCCAATATTTTTATTCCTGCAGATGGTTTTCAAAAAAACCTAGTTTACCAGTCTTTCAATATCCATTCATTTTCCTCACAAGAACCTCCTTTGAATTGCCTCTATTTACTTGATTACCACTGAAGGGGCTTTAAACACAGATATGTAGTAAAGAGGCAAAGAATCTAGAATAGACTTGATAAATGCAATCTTACCCCAAAGGTAAAACTTCTAGCCTTCCATAAAGATAACCTTTTTTCAAATTGTTGAATCACCACAGTCCATGTACCAGTCTTTCTTGGACTACTACCAATGGGAGTGCCGAGATATAAAGAGGGAAATTTGTTTGGCATGCATTCTAATATTGAAGTGAAATTAATCAACTCTTCTTCATATAGATTTACCCCAAATAGTCTACTTTTACTGAAATTAACATGAAGACCCGAAAGAAATTGAAAACATGCCAGGATTCTTTTTAAATTGCTAATTTTGCTCTTCCTCAGCATTACTAAATATAACCAAATCATCTGCGATGGTAGATGAGATACTATAACTTCATCCTCTCCCACCTTAACCCCTGATATTAGACTAGCCGTCATTGCATTCCTCAACAAGATGTTTAGACCTTTAGCCACTATGAGAAAAAAGAAAAGGAGATAGAGGATTTCTAGACATTTGAAATTCTTTTGTAGGAACACCCATTTACTAGCACCGATAACCTAGAAGTCCGCAAACATTCCTTAATCCATCTTTGTCATTTTCCCCAAAACCCATTTTAGACATCATACGAAAGAGGAAGTTCCAATTAACCGAATCATATGCTTTTTAGAAGTTAGCCTTAAAGAGAATTGCCTTATGTCTCCTTTTCTTCAAATCATTTATTAATTCATTGTAATTCAAAATGCCATCTATTATTTGATGCTCTCCAACAAAAGTTATTTGGTTTCCCTTTTATAATTGATTGTATAACTTGCCTCAATCTTAAAGAAAGTAACTCAGATACCAATTTACACACACTCCCAATCAGAGAAATTGGTCTATAATCATTCAATCCCTATGGTGGCGGAGATTTCGGGATTAAAGTGATAAAACTTGATATCACCTTAGAAAACTTACCATGATCATAGACATCTTGGAAAAAATCTTACTAAGTCCCCTTTTATTGTATCCCAGCATTAATTATAAAACTCCATAGTGAACCCATCTAGTCTTGGAGCTTTAGAAGTTCCACAGCACCATATGGCTTCCTTTATATCTTCTTTTGTAAATGGAGTTTCAAGATCATTCATTTGAGTTTTGTTAACTTTGGGACCTCCTCATTGGCTAGATAAGGCCTAATAACTATGTCTAGTGGAAACATATCTGAAAAGTAATGATCGACCACATCCCTCACATCATCAACTTCTAAAATCCACCTACCTTGAAAATTTAAACCTAGGATTTGATTCTTTACTACCCTTCTATTAACTATAACATGATAATACCTTGTGTTGGCATCCCCTTCTTCAGCCTCTGAGTACTTAAAAGTTTTAAAAATAATAATCTTTTAAGATTAACTTTTTCATCAGAACGATAATCTTGCTCCACCTTCAAATCCAAAGATGCTAACTCAGTCGAGCATTTCAATTTCTCCACATCCAACATCCCTAAAACTGATCGCTTCCACTCTTTTAACTCTCCTTTTAGTATATGCAGCTTATTCAATAAGATAAATCCATTCCACCCTTGAACATTGGTACGAGCCCAACAATTGTAACTAGCTGGTTAAAACTATTTTGACCACACAAAAAATTACAGAAACAAAAAGGTCTTGGCTCCCGATTTATCGATTCTGAATCTAAAAGAATTGGACAATGGTCCAAACAACATCTATTTAATCATAAAACTCTAAGGACATTCCACTTTGCCATCCATCTATTGCATACCAGAAACCTATCGATTCTGCTCTTATTATCATAACATTAACCCATATGAACTTTCCACCGACCATCAGAAAATCATTCAAATTGTAGGAGGAAATAAAATTATTAAAATCTAAATAACTAGCTCCGTCTTCAACGAAAATATCTTCTTTCAAAAAAAAAAAAAAAAAGATTATATCTTGAAAGTTCAGCGTGAGAAATGAATTGCAATATAAACATATAATTAGACAAATAATGGATACAATTTTATTTTTATCAAAGTTGTTTTTAACAAGAACATAAAATAGCAAGCAAACAAATATTCTTTGAACAATTCAAAGGAAAGAAAAGAGAGTAAAATATTTAATAAAGTACTTTAATGAATGTGTCTATATGTTTTATGTCTAATTTTTATAAAATAAAATTTATAATTATCCATGTTTACCACGAGGATTCAAACCAAAAAAGAAAATTATGAAAGGAGCTCAGATAGTTAAACTGCATCAAATCTATAAATATGGCTTTGCTTAACCTATAAATAATTTGTATATAATTATGTACTAATATATTCTTTTATGAATAACTTTCAATTATATATGTAAAAATTAAAATTGAATTTGAATTTAAAAGTGCCATTCTTAAATTTTACAAACGAACTAAACTATTAACTTCTAAAAATTACAGTTTTTAAGTTGATTTATATCGTTTCGGACGGATATTGGAATTGTTGCTAGGAAAATTTCCTCATTGCAGTAGAAAATTATTTCTAGAAAATATTTCCACCAATAGTAAATACTTGAAATAAAATAATATTTTTTTGGAAACAAACGGATATCCAAAATTAGTAAAATACAAAATACGGTTGACTGGCGTATACTGTATGCAAGTATAAAATGTGTACATACAACAGCACTAAGAAGCTTCCTTCTCTTGGTTGGGTAAGCTGTAACAGCTAGTTTTACAAAAATATTATTATTTTATATTAATAATATAAAATGCGGATAATCAAACAAGACAAGTCGATTTTCGCCGTATATATAAGCAACTACTTTCTCCTTTTGCTCTTTCTTTCTTCTCAGATCCATTTCATTTCATAGATCTCCTTCACAGCTTCTGGCTTTCACCGACACACATCTTGAGTAAATTTTTGAGGCCTTTTGGTTTTCTCCTTTTCCTTTTTGATCTTCGTGGTGGATTTTGCCAGAGTAGAAGATTTTTGAAGTGGGCTTTTGATTTTGATGGTCGATGAGCAGAAGAAGAGTTTCAAGAAGAGATTGAGGAGCAAAGTAGATTTTGCTGCCTGTAAATGCGGCTAATTTTCTCTTAGAAGAAGGAATCAATTGTTCTTTTTCTTTTCTTTTTTTTTTTCTTTTTGAATCAAGTGGACTCAAAACAATAACGACAAAGTACCTTTCTGGTATCTGTGATCTTAGTGGTTTTGGAAAATATGCAGCGAGATCACCCAAAGAAGGTGTGCTTCTCTATTTCTTTCTCTAATATAGGATCTGGGTGTGGGTTTTTTGTCCGATCCGATTTGACAAACTTGCAAATTTGAAAATTTTTGTGGTTGTAAAACGAAGAGGAGATGAAAGAAATTAAGTGAATTTTTCTGTTCTCAACTTTGATATTGATGAAAGGGAAGCGTTAAGATCTTATTTAGGGCATAGTCCATTTGGTTGCTGAAAGAACGTGCAATTTTCTGGTTTCAGTCCCTTAGGGTTAAGATCTAGTTTAATCTAATTTCTATTCGTTGATGTTGTGGGAAAGCGTGGAAAACGAAAGAATCTGTGGTTTCCAAAAATTGGGTTCTGATATTTTCTCTTCAATGCAGTCATTTGGATTATAGTTAATGTTAGATTTAAAACATGAAATAATTAAGTTGACATGAAAACCATTAGATAAATGTAATTTGTACTGATTGACATATGAAGATAAGATCTTTTTAAGTTCTGGGTTATTGAGCTTTTGCAAATCTACAACCTAGTTCTCAACTACCCAATAACCAGAATAAGATTCATTTTTGGCATTTTTCCTTATTTGAATACCCGCTTGTCTGAGCTTTCCGAGAACTTTGTCTTCAGTGATGGAATTCATCCACTTGTTACATGGAATACATCTATTCTATTGTTTTACATTTTTTTATGGGTAGAATAAATGTATAATAACCACTTATTTTCTTTGATAGTTACTATAGCAATTTGGATTCTATTGGATGTCACATCCCTTTAAGAAAGGCGCTTTTGTTTTTGTTTTTGTCTGCTGTAATGCAATTGCTAGAAACAAACCGAGTCCCATAGATTCTGTACTTGATTCTTCCTTAATCTACTTCTTAACTATTAAGTTATGATCACTCTGGAATCTGATTTTGTTCCCTAAATTTGATTACTTGTGTAAGCCATCTCCTTTTTCCAAATGGTTTTATTAGGACACTATTATTTTTGGTTGGTGTGAGCTATTCATGGCATATGCATGTCTATAAAGTTGTGTACTCCTGAAATAATCTACTTAAACTTTTGGTTAATTCTTTTTCGTTTTTGTGTGACAGTGTGCTGTATTTGGTGTATCTGTATCATGTTGTTATTGCTTATATTTTATTTTTACCTGAGATTTTTCTGTTGGCTAAATTTACTTGTGCTTGTGTCTATTTAATTTGTGTTTTTTTTTGTGGATCCTATTTAACCTATTTAATACTTTTTGTAATTTCTATGAAAGTTTAAGTATGCCGATTTATTTCTCACGCTTCAGGACTTAAAAGATATGGACTTTTTCACCGAGTATGGAGATGCAAACAGATACAAAATTTTGGAAGTTATAGGAAAGGGAAGCTATGGAGTTGTATGTGCAGCAATTGATACTCACACTGGAGAAAAAGTGGCAATAAAAAAGATCCATGATGTTTTTGAGCACATCTCTGATGCTATTCGGATCTTGAGAGAAGTCAAGCTGCTTAGACTTTTACGTCATCCTGATATCGTTGAAATTAAGCGCATCATGTTGCCACCCTCAAAGAGGGAGTTCAAGGACATATTTGTTGTTTTTGAGCTCATGGAGTCTGATCTTCACCAAGTCATCAAGGCTAATGATGACTTGACCCGTGAACACCATCAATTTTTTCTTTATCAGATGTTGCGAGCACTGAAATACATGCATACAGGTGACTGTTTCATATTTTTTTTATTTGAATAATTCTATATTCCTCTCCTTATTGCGGGGGCACTTTTGGTGTCTCTGTGTCTTTAATCTTAACGGCACAGGCTCCATCTTCATTGTCATCCAGTATGATTGCACCTTTTTAATTTTGGTTTTATTTTTTATATTTTGATGAATATGTTGCTCTCTTAATGTTCTGAATTTAAGTTTTTTTCTGCTCCAGCAAATGTTTACCATAGAGATCTTAAACCCAAGAATATATTGGCAAATGCAAATTGCAAGCTTAAAGTTTGTGATTTTGGACTAGCTAGAGTAGCATTTAGTGATACACCAACCACGGTATTTTGGACGGTACGTGCTTTTAATGCAATATTCAGAAACACATAATAGCTGAATTATAAACATTTTATGTTACAAGTGTTCATTGATTCATCTACAGGACTATGTTGCAACAAGATGGTATAGGGCTCCAGAGTTGTGTGGATCTTTTTTTTCAAAGGTATGGTTTGACTGCCAAGTGCAATCTCATGGAAAGTTTGATTGAAGCATGTTATATGGTACAAGGGACCAAATTTCTTTTGGTTCTCTACTTCCTACTTGCATCTTTGAAATTGTATCAAATCAATTCATTTGTATGTTTTTTTATTGATGTGCTCGACTTTTTTCGATGTGTTTCAATATAATTTGTAAGTGCTCTTTTTGTTGGACTAGAACCTTACAATAAAAGCTATATTGCACTGCTGCATGTACAATTTAATTTTTCTTGTCCTAAGTTACTCATTTCAGTGAAGCTTTCTGCTTTTCTGTTCTTATTTATCTTGTTTTTTCGGACATGTATGTGCCTTTTCCGCATTTTGTTAGAGAGGCATATGTTTGGTCACACGCTCTTGCCCATTGTTTCATGAGCGTTGAATGTAGATTGTGAAGTTTATGAACATGGTGAGCTGAAGTTAATAGGATAATAAGCTTTATCAGGAGAACTTTTTCTCTAAATTTATTATATACTGAATTGAATTGCTGATTGATTAAAATTTTTAACTGTGGTTTATATTTACTTGTATGCCCTTGAATGGGTCAATTTAGATTATGATGAAAGCACATACTAGATATTAGACATTGTTTGATTCACTTTTCATTGATTGTGTTTCAATGTATACAGACAATAATAAAAACACAAACTTTGACTATTTTTGATTTTTACCCTTCACCATTGGTTCAGTCCTACTGGTGTGATGTCCATACTCAGTAGCTGTACCTTCATATGCCCGAAAAGAAAATTTAGTCCTGTGGGATGCTATTCTTATGTGCTATGGCATAACTTTGAAGCAAAATAGTTCTCTGTAAAATGCTTCTGAGTCCTTTATAGTAAGCAGTAATGCCTAGATTAAAATAATTCTTGTTCAGGGAGGACTATGAACTCTCCTGGAAGTTGAATATCTGTCATTCACGTAATCGTGTCAGGTTATGCCCAATTCTCTGGAGTGGTTTTATTAGAGCATGGAATTTCTAATACCGCTTGAATTTGCTGATCTTTATTGGTACCTTTTTGCAGTATACTCCAGCAATTGATATTTGGAGTATTGGCTGCATATTTGCCGAGGTATTGACAGGGAAGCCATTGTTTCCGGGTAAAAGTGTTGTTCATCAGTTAGATTTGATCACTGATCTTCTTGGGACTCCTTCCCCTGAAACTATATCTGGAGTATGATATCTTTGTTCCCTCTCCTTTTTTCTCTCCGAGCTCTTCTTCCTTTCCTCTATTTTTGGTTATAACCTTCTGTCTCCAGTATTGACATCAGTTATTTACTGGGATAATAAATGCAGGTTCGAAATGATAAAGCAAGGAAATACTTGACAGAAATGAGGAGAAAACAGCCTGTATCATTTATGCAGAAATTTCCAAACGCAGACCCTTTAGCACTCCGGCTGTTGCAAAGACTATTGGCATTTGACCCAAAAGATCGACCAACTGCTGAAGAGGTCTTTTCTTTGTCTTAATCTCTGGCAGTCTGGCTTGTAAAGAATGTTTTCCTTATAATGCATCATTTGATAAGTAAACATTAATGTATTCCTTATCTGCCTGAAGATTTAAGAATCCTTTTTTATTTACTATACTGAAGGGATGTAATTTTTGCTTGTATAGGCATTGGCTGATCCTTACTTTAAAGGTTTATCCAAAATTGAGAGAGAACCTGCTTGTCACCCAATTTCAAAGTTGGAGTTTGAATTTGAGAGGCGAAGGGTGACAAAGGAGGACATCCGAGAATTATTGTACCGAGAAATACTGGAGTATCATCCACAGTTGCTCAAAGACTATATGAATGGAAATGAAGGCACTAACTTTCTTTATCCTAGGTTCTAAATGCTTCCTTCTAAATTGCTATTTTCTAAATACTAGTGGTCATTTTTTGAGTTTCTTTCCCATGGTTGATATAATGTATTTTCAACGCAGTGCTATTGGTCAATTTAGAAAGCAGTTTGCATATCTGGAGGAAAATGGTGGCAGGAGTGCACCAGTGATTCCTCTAGAGAGGAAGCATGTCTCTCTTCCCCGGTATGGGAATTTACAATTTTGGTTAATTCAGGTGTTCTTATAGTTTTGACTTGTTGTATGATTGCTTGTAAATTATGATGAGAGTACCAATGAAACTCCTTAAAATAATGGCTACATTTGAATTCAGAAGATGTGGGATGTGTTACCTATATTTTCCATTGTTTATATATCGCTTTTCAATCTTCCCTTTTGGTTCCAGGTCTACTGTACACTCGAATACAATCCCTCCCAATATGCAGCAGCCAAATTCAACTGTATTTGGGAACCGGCAAGTCGCAGAAGATGCTTCTAAATCCTTTAGAGCTACAGATACAATACCTGGAAATGCTTCAAGGGCTTCTCGGCCTCCACCTCGTGTACCAACAGGTATAAGCATTTTTGTTTTGCTTGCTGTTTGTTAAGTGGTAATCCATGTATGGAAAACTATTGAAATTGAACCTAGAAAGCCTTGATGAGTTAAGTCATATATTTATTGGTTCAGTCAAAATATTAATGGGCTTGTTCAAGAGCTATAGTTGCTTATACAACTATGAAAATGCATATGATCACCTGAAATTTCTGATAATTGTTGGACAGCTGCCAAATCAGATTTTTTTTTTTTTTTTGGCTTGTCCTTTTCCATGGTTGATATAAATCGTATCTTTCAAATTGCAACGCATGACTATGGGTTCACATTTAGAAAGTCCAGTTGCATATCTGGAGGCAAATCGGTGGTGCAGCGAGTGCACCAGTGATTCCTCTCATGAGAGGAGACATGTCTCTCTTCCCGGCGTATGGCGGAATTTACAATATTGTGTTAATCTCAAGGTGTCTCTTCAGTAGTATTTTGAAACTCTTTGTTATTAGACTTGCTGTGTAAATTATTGAGTGAGAGCTACCCAAACTTCGAAAACTCCTTAAAAATAATGGCACATTTTGAATTTCAAAAGAGGATGTGGATGTTAGGTGCGGGGGGGCTTACCTATATTTCTCCGATTGTTTATATATCGCTCTTTCAATCGTTTCCCTTTTGGTTCCAGGCTACTGTACCCACTCCGAATACAATCTCCTCCCAATATGCAGCAGCCAAATTCAAAACTGTATTTGGGGAACGGCCAAGTCGCAGAAGATGCTTCTAAATCCTTTAGCAGCGCTACAGATACAATACCTGGAATTTGCTTCAACGGGCTTTCTCGGCCTCCACCTCGTGCTACCAATACAGGTATAAAGCATTTTTGTTTTGCTTGCTTGTTGTTTAAGATGTAATCCATGTATGGACCACCAAACCTATTCAGACAATTGAACCTAGGAAAGCCTTGCACTCCCACCTTTAAGTCATGGATTATTGGTTTCGAGTCAACAATATTACATGGGCTTGTTCAAGAAAGCCTTAGTAGTTGCTTATACAACACAAACGAAAAACACAACATAAACAAAACAGCTCCCTCTACAAAAACCACACTACATCATTCGACAAGATGCATGATGATCACTGCAAATTTCTGATAATTGTTGACAGTACCTGCCAAATCAGATTTTTTTTTTTTTTTTAGGGGCATTATGCCATTCGGTCATGCGGGGCGAGGTGGGGATAGGTTGTAAAGATTGTCCATCCATGAATGCGTTCTTGATATTTATTCAACCTGGTTAGCCTTACAAAGCTTGCTGTTGTTCAGTGCTCAAGTCGAGTAAACTTTTTCCCCGTATTGTTTTCCTCTTTGGGTAATACAGCGAACGCCAGGTTAGAGTAGTTTGGATTCATATCTGAGATATGGACAAAAATATATCAAAAGATCGGCCTATTGATGCACAGGATCATTTAATCACAGACAAACGCCGTCCTATCCTCCGCAGCATTCGGTCTTCCCCCACTGGTTCTTCAGCCGAGTAACAACCGATGGACACAAGAGCACAGTCCACTAATAGAGTTCTGAAAAAGGATCCAACTTCAAGGTAGCCAAACGCAAGCGAAGGCTTGCCACAACGTCATTTAATCTCCCAAAAGCCCAAGCCCCAGTATACTCCATTGACTCATTGAATAAACCAATCACTTACTATTTCAGCGCAAAAGCGGCAAGGTGGCATTACACAACTTAAACGAGCGGATACGCTATTGATGCCAAACTTACTGCCAGGGCGCAATCCCAATTCTGCGCGCGGCAGCGGTAGCCTGTGCTTGCTCATAAGGAAGTAGTGGGAAGAACTGTCACAGTAGGGTATTGTCTTAGACATAATCCTTGGACGTGTAATCTATTTATGTTCCTTGTGTTAATCATATGACATCTTACTGCCATTTGATTTTATAATTGAAAGATAACAATTTCGCCTGTAGCATCGACAAAGAAAATGCTTTAGGTGAAAAGTAAATCTTCCTAATCAATACATTTCCTTATACCATTCTAGGTGGTCTATATTAGAATGCTTCTGTTGAACGGTTGAACTTTCTGTCTCGCTAAAGGACAAAGGAAATAGTAGCGGAAAAATAGTTTTCGGTTGTCTCATAATATCTTGGAGGTTGTGACCTCTTTAGAACCCACGTCTGTGGTGCAAGCGACACTCCCACTTTGTTTGCACTTTGAAAAATAGCGTTAAAAGAACGCGCGGTGCTACCGTACTGTCCCTAGCAGCGATTGTGTAATCTAGATAATCATTCGCATGTACATGATTGTCATGACATCTTTGTATGTTTTATATTTTTAATAAATATAAATTTTAAATTGTTTGCAATTCTAACTGTAGAAATAATTATTTTGATTTTTATGTTACACTTAATTTTTATAGGACGCAATTATTCGAAAAGCTTTTTTAGCTACCCACCGTCCTTTTTTGCTTCTCATATCGAACCCTTCCTAATAACTTTACATTTCTTTCTATAACATTCAAGAAGAACCAAAATACTTATTGATGGAAATATGCTAAACAATGATAAAATGAAAAGAAAAAATAATTTAATACTATAAAGTTATTTAACACCAGATATGCTCTGAGTGAAATCAAAGAGTCGAGCAGTATCCAAAAATTATACTAAACAGGCATAACATAGTACCCGTATATTAAGTGCTTTTCGTTTAGAGAGTATACTTCATTAAATATCATTTTTTCTGAAAAACTTCCCATTAATTTATTCAATTTTAAGCTTATTACCATATATTTCGTAATTCCCACCCTGCATCTAGTTGGGCATGGCACAAATACTATCTCTTGGCATTGCAAACATTAGGATTTCAATCCCACAATTCAACATAAAATCCTTTCGATCACGATTCGAAGATGGACAATTTTTTCCTATACTATGTTCTCATTATTCATATATCAATACACGGTTTAAAATAATATGCTCATCCTCACATCGCTCGACAGTAGCGTAACCAAACACCCTTGAAAAGTTAAGCATGCACGTATCCGATGCGTATCTGCACGTCCATTATTCGCGGGCAGTTAAATACTCATAAGACTACATGTTCTTACTTACTTATTATTATTTTTTGTATTATCTTAAACGATGACGTCAAGTATTGCCCTCATACCACAACATGACTCATAAAGGAGAGTGCTTTACATGACAGACTCTTGCTTTATTTTATAACATGATCTAATACTTCACGTCCTTGCCGTACATAAGACCTGAGCCTTTTTTATTCCTTGGTTGATTTTAGTTTATTCTTACTGTTCGAGTCTTCATAGCTTCAATCTGACACATTCTTAACAATTCTTCGTCCATAATTGTTAAGACTATGAACAGAAATAACTCCAAACTAACAAGCTTCCGTAAGCGAGAGGCTTGAAAGCAGTTGGCACCCGGAAAGAAGCTGATCAGTTCCTTGCAATCATACCTATAATAAGCAAGCGCTGAAAGTATCAGAGCATGCCGTGTGGCGGTGGCCCGAAAGCTCCTACGCGCGCTATAAAAAGATGGCGCTGAGCAAGCCTTCGGACACGGCACTAAACGCGCAGAAACTCAAGAGGACAACTGCTATTTCAGGTTGCATTTAACTTTAACAGCGGATACAGCTATGGAAGAGGCTTGAAAATCGACCCTCGAGAGTGGACAATGAAATGCTATGCGTCGGATGATGAATCTGGGGGACGTCGTTGATGAGGACACCCATCCACTGAATTCCTAACAATAACCAGATTTTGGAAGATGGCGAGGAGGTTCCTTCATGAGAGCGACTATGAAATTAACATGCATTCGATCACAGGTCCTGCTTTGGGACGCCCTTGAATTGTGATCTAATTATTTACCACAAGGCGGTTAATATCGAACCTACAATCTTCCAGTCTTGACTATGCATGTGATATTATCAATGGCTTCATCCTTCATCGTACGATTCTTTCTAATCAATTAGAGTACGGAGCAGTGTTGTTATGTATGGATGACCGGCCCTCTACAGCTAACGTAGACCGGTATCATACTATTTTGACCGTGTTTCGTCCAATGGTGCAAGCCCCCGCGACCTGTGTATTCGACATCCGAAAAAATTGTAGGAATGCACTTACCAAACCATGGGTTCCTGCGTCGCGAGCGATTCTTACATCTTGCCAATTAGAATATATGCTTGCAGACACCTTCGTTGCTGCGATCTGGGCCAACGATTCGGGCTCCCATTAGACCAGCTGCGACTCGACACAAACTCCTACGGCATGCTTCCCAAGAGAAAGTATGGCTCCACCCACTGTAGTACTGCCGCGAGCGTCCGACTTTTCGTTCCCCCAAGCCTCTGCCTCTAATTCCCACCAATTCCAGCGCCTTGTCAGGAAAAAGAGCTAACCGATTAAGAGGATGAGCGACCTCTGAAGCCGGTGGATCACCGCGTAATCATTTGCGACTTTCACTGTCTCTTATCTGGCGTTACTCTATAGCCCATCAGAAGAATTATGGTTAGGAGTGGCGTTAATTTCGAATCGGGATGTACTGCATACGATCCATATGAAAGAGATGCCTTCAGGTGATAGCCAAACACGCGGCTATGTTGAGCGTGACATGGGAATTCGGCTGGAATGGCTGGCGCTTAGTTAGTGTGCAACCTTTCGAGCATCTGATCGTTCGACTGTCCGCGATGTTCTCTGCTGTAAGCTTCAAGCGTCGCGAACGCCATGCATCACAACCACACCGTCCCCACCCTCACCCGCCTCCTGTACACACCAATCCCCCCACCTGATCAACCTGCCTCCTCCCTACCGTCCAGTTCGGGACACCAACCCCTACGTGGTACACAAATTCTGCCTTGGATGATTGTGAAAAACATTGCATAAGGATAACTGTACGTCAAGCAAATTCTTGGAATATCTGGCAAGTATCTGAGGCCACAAAAATAAGGTAAATTAAGTGGTAGATGGACACCTAGGATCTATCTAACTCTAATTTACGTTACGTGGCTCTATGGCTTGTTTTCAACTATCCCTTTCGGACCCTTGTTATAAGTTCAGTCACTTGGATTTGCCTAGCCCGCCATTAGGACTCTAGCGTTCAATAATAAGCATTCCTCCAAGTAATAGCCCTCTTACAGTCTAAGCTTCTTTGAGCGTTAGTCCAAAACAAAGCGTTAAAGGTCCTACCCAAAGAGTCCCTTCGATCCCAAAACTATGAGCCTCTCATGCTCCTACT